ATTTCCATTAGCACCGTCGAGCTTTATCATTATGGGTGTCACAACTTTATCCCTAATGAGTGCTACCACTCCTTAAACTCCTCCTATTCATCAACTTTGCCCCCATCATCAACTTCCCCACTTAGCAATGGTGATTGAGTTTAGGAATTGAGATATTTGGATCTTCCATCTAGACCTTGAAAACTCATCCTAAATTCTCAATAAATACCTCCCATGAAAACGACTTCAAGTGAAAATTAAACCATGAACAAAAGCAAACTAAACAATTTGGATAAAATAGTAGCAGCAAAAAAAGCCATGGCTATTCACTTGAACAAACTTTTTTGGCCTTACAAATCATTAAGTGATGAATCAATTAGATAATGATAGTGCTTGACTCTTTTCATTTGGATCAGAAGGCAATGAAACATATTAATGACATTTAAGACCGGCAATATACATTAACTTTAGCAATCCTCTATCTCGTTTGTCACCATAGTCCTGATTCCTCTTTTGTCTTCCACCCAATGATTCCCTTTTTTTTTTTAGCCTTCCGAATCATGGCTTTGTTTATGTTTCTAGACATTGGCTATGACAACAAGCAATGAAGGAGGAGGAGGAGGAGGAAGGCAATCATGGAAGGGAAGGGGTAAGGAAAAAATGTGATAAGGATATTTTAGTCTTTTTCATTTTTATAATTATTAAAATTTAATATAAAAAATTATTATCTTTTGAGATTCCTAATATTAACCCAAACAAACTTATTATAATTATCTTTACATTACATCATGTTCCCTCCTATTACATTACATTCCATTACTTATGAATTAAGGAGCCAAACAGGCCAAAAGAGTTGCTAACGCTCTCCTAATTACTCACAATATAAAAACTAATTTGATATTTAATTTGGTCTTAAATATAAAATTCTAATTTATATTGTCTCTCATATTTCTCTAGTTTTTTAATATAGTCATTATAGCAGTTATATATATTATAGGTTTTATCAAATAGTAGTTGTAACTAATACATATAGTGCCTATTTGGCATCACTTTTTTTGAGCTTAAAAGTAGCTTATCTTCACTACGAGCCCGATTGGAAGATTTACCATGTTTGGGAGAGCTCATGTCCAATTGGGCTTGTGGTTGATAAGCTGCATGATTGAGCGTTTCAAAATAAGCTCCTAAGAGGAGCTTATTTGAAAAGCTTGTTTTGGACCGTGGTGTGCCAAGAATCATTTCGCTTTTATTTTTCTCTCTGCCATTATTCCCTCATCCACTTTCGTATTTTCTTGACCAAAGCTCTCATTTCCCACGACCTGTCTCTTCTGCCACCCAACAAGATTCGTCACCTCCTCGCCAGAAGACTGGGTGCTAATTCTGTTAGACCCAGATGATCCTGATCACTGGAAAATGAACGAACACAGGTACGTACGAAAATTTTCAATTCACTTCAATTGCATTTCGTTCCTTTTCCCCCCTATTTCTTCTTTTTAGTTTTCTTGATTTTGTGGATTTTTCTTATGAATTGCTAAGAAATTATCATCAGTGACTGATTTCGATTTGCACTTCTTCATATTAAATTATTTTAAGTTTATTGTATTATGTAAAATTATTTTTTTAATCATGTTTCGTTATTTATTAAAACTCATACCTATTTTGGTCATTTTACAACCAAACTTACTTTTACTCAACCATAATCCAAACAACTTTTTACCAATCTCACTTTTACAAACTAGCTTTTCTGAACTACAATCCAAACACAATTTAGCTTATTTAATTTAGCTTTCACCCAACTTCACTTCTCCATAAGCTACTTTTTCAATAAGCTACTTTTTCAATCGCTGATCCAAACAGACCCATAATTAGTAAGATTATCATAGAAAAGAAAATATCTATTTATTATAAATAACTAACTTAACAAACTCTCTTAATCTACTCAATAGTCAACTAGCTCTTATATTAAACACCAAAAGTAGTATTATTTTTTTAATTAAAATAGCACTATAATTTAAATTCGCATAATATTTAAGAAATTGCTTTTTCATTGACAATAAATTTTATCCACTTTGATTTGGCTTATATTGGTTGCTGACCAGATTCCATGTCCAATGTATCCAACTCCCTCTTATCCTTATCTCTACATAAGAAAAGTTTGAGGAAGCAAAATCCTCTATTTCTTCTTCTTGATCGAGTCTTCTTATATAATTTTGACAAATATCTATTTTCGGTTATTTTTAATTGTATCAATAAAAAATTTATTATTTTTAACTGTGAATTGATGCATTTAGTTTAGTTAAGATTGGAGGCTCAAAATAATTATTTCAAGATTATTTTTTAATGATATAAAATTACAATGAGAATTCACACAAGTAAATCGAAGAGAATTAAATAATTCCTTAAATAGTGTATAGATTATCGATAAATTAAATGTTAATTATTTTTCAATAGTTGATAACTTGTATTACAAAAAAAAAAAATTGTAGTTAACATTTGCTATAAACGATCATAAAAAAATTATTATAATTAAGTTAAAGGATCAAAAGATAATTTATTAGTTAATTTTAGTATCCTTGTAAAATGATCTAAGATTTTGAAATTTTAATTTGCAAGCTTTTGAATGATATTCTTTTTATAAAAATTACTAATAGAAGATTATCTATAATTTGAGTTGTGCTCTATTAATATAGTATGTATACAAAGAAAAAATTAATTATTTAATTCTTACAATATTGAATTGAAATGCACCATCTCCAGTCTTAAATATAAAAGCTAATTGACCAATTTAAGTAGATTAAAAAAATAAGCTAAGTGAGTTATTTGTAACAAATGGGTATTGTTTTTTTTCTATAATATCCTTGCTAATTAAGTTTATTGGCTAGAACTACTATTATTAGAAGGACTATCTTAAAAAAAATAGATAAATATGAAAGACAAAGTAGATTAGGATCTTATATTTAGGATCAAAATAAAAATAAAACAAAATCTTATATTAAAAAACAGAGGTGGTATTTACGGTCCGTTTGGTATGAAGGATTTGGAGGAGAGGAGAGGGAGAAGGAGGGGTTTTAATCAATTTTTCTTGTTTGGCAAGATTAAAATTTTAAGAGGGGAGGAAAAATTTTGTAACATTTTCCCTCCTCACCTCTCATCAGCCTCCCCTCCAAAATTGGGAGAATTTAGAAGGAAAGGGAAATATTTTGGCTTGTATTGACTAATATGCCTATATTATTTTTTAATAATTCCATGTTACTCTTTACTACTAAATTGTATGTGACTTGGTATATTTATGGATTCAATCATACATCTCTTCCCCCATTTATATGTTATCAAATATTTAAAAAAAAGTTACTATCAAATATATTTTAATTTCCAAACGTAAATCAAGCATTCAAAACAAAAACATACAAATAAGTCATTTATATCGTTTTTGAAAAAGTTATTTGACCACTCGTATCAACAACACAGAGAAAAATAAAAGCTGAAAAAAATACTCAAATTAAACATATTTACTTCATTAGACCAGATTTTGGATATAAATATAACTATAGTTATTGGATATATAATAATGCTCCAGTCCTAAATATAAGACCCTTATACTAGTATATATAAAGGTCTCATATTTAGAACCGGAGGAATAACTATTAATTATGTATTATCATTATATTTATTTAATTTTGCTAATTATAAAAATTGATCTCATATATTAAATATTATTTATAATCATATTTTATTAATTACTCTATAAAGTTTGTAAAAAATTAATTTAAATTATATAAAGGCAAAGTTGTCCGTATAAAAATATTTTGCTGCCTCTTTCTTTCTAAACCAAATAAGGTAATATTGAAATTCTTCTCCTCTCCTCCGCTTGTATTAATTCAAATAAAATAATATTAAAATCTCTCCCCTCCTTTCCCTCTACTAAAATTTCTCCCCCTATTCTTTTTATTGAGCCAAACACAGCCTTAAAAGTGCCAAAAAATTGGACTTTGCGCTGAGCCGGTAGGATGATTTATGGGGTTCGGAATGTCTCCACTGTAGCGCTTCTGTCCATTTTGCCTCCACTGAGAAAACGACGCTGTCCTTCTAAAATCCATTTTCCTCATTTGTTCAGTTCGAAACTCAACGACGTCGTTTTTTTAGTGGAGGCAAAATAGAGAGAAGTTTCAATGGAGAGGTTCTGAACCCTGATTTATGAGAGCTGCGCTTGAAGCAAATGGGTCCCATGAAAGGGCAATCAAGAAAAGCAGATCAGAAAATGGGATCTCAGGCTCGTGAAATGGAGTTGGAGAGGAGGAATGGCATTAAATGATTATCTGTTTAATGAATCTAGGTGGCACTTGTTGATTGGAAAATTAGATGTACTGAATTTAAGGAACATGGAAAGGTTTGCTCTTATTATAATTAATATTTTTATGCTTAAAATAAATAAATATAAATCACTTCTAAGAAGAAGTTTTGACTTTTGATCCCAAGTATAATCACCTGTAATATATTTAATATTTATTTTCTAATTTTACTCTTATTTAATTCTCATTGGAAAGAGAAGGAAGAGAGAGATATGAGAATGATTTATAAATATAGAGAGAAAACTTTAATAAAGATAAAATTAGAAAATTTTGTCAATTTAATACATTTTTTGGTATGCAAAAAATGTGTTACAAGTGACTTATATTAAAAATTAAAGTAGTTAAAATAAAAAAATTAAAAAACATTTTAATTTATGACATAAAGGATCATATCCATAAAATAAATTTCTTTAAAAATATTTTAATAAGACGTGCAGAATTATAACTTTAAAATGAGTAAGTTTTATTTATTGTGTGCGTATGTCTATGTATAGAGAAGGATTTGGACCGGGCAGAATGTGATTCCCTCGTTATACATAGCTCTTCGTTTTTTAGTTGTTGTTGTTGTTTTGTATAGGTGTCTTCCTATTAAAGATAATTTTATTTAAGACATTATTAGACACTAAATGTAAGCACTTTTTTTGGAAAAATTTTTATAACAGATTCTTTCAGAAATTTTTTTATAATAGATACTTTATTATAATAGATACTTTAAAAATTTTCAAGTTCAGAAGATCCAAACCCAAACTAATTAACGTTAACAAGTCACTCAATATGGGCTATGGAAATTTGCCCCTGGCTAGTAGTTGTGCGCTCATATGAGTCCGTTCTCCAGTAAGAATGATTCATCACATAACCTTCTTCTGGCATCCCTAGCCTGCATTTACAATACCACCAAAACAATTTTAAGCATCACAAATCAAGAACTCAAAAAGACCTAATCATTATGAAGTCATAAAGGACTAGTCTGGGATTAAATATTATAGTGAGATTAATTATCTAAATATCCTTAAAAAATGGGAAAAAAAATCGAAATGACAACAATAATTTAGTAAATAACAACTTTTTGGGCTAAAGAAGAAGGGCTTATGGCCCAAAAGCAACAAAGCAAACGAATAAAAAAAAACACGCCGACTAACTACCCTTCTCAAACATTACTCCCAAAATATCCACCAAAAACACCCACTAACTACCCTCTCCCAAACAAGTAAAATAACAATTCTAATTTATTACTTGCTCCATCCTTTTTTTTATAAGAAAGGGTTAAGGTGCAATTTTAACAACAAAGTTTTCCTGAAAGAGCACTGGGCACCATAACGTTTATTTGGGTGCAAAAATATACATGAAGTTGTCAAAAAGGAGCATCTGGCACCATGCCGTTAATGTCCGTCAGTTTACCGTTAGAGGGGCCCACAAAGTCAGTTTTAAGGTGCATTTTTAACAACAAAGTTTGCATCAAGGGGCATTAGGCACCATGAAATTTATTTGGGTGTAAAAATATACATGAACTTTGTAAAAGGAAAAAAATAACAAAATTCTTCAACCTCCATAAACATCCATTAATTTTATTCTTTTTGGTCTCACCAAATGCTATATTTTCTTTCTGTAAATTTCCACTTCCAAGCCAATCCATCTTTCTCTCATCATACTCAACACACACACTCTCTCTGTCATGTTGTTTTCTGAGCCTCCAAGCCTTTTATATGTATTTAAGCAAAACACATTTTTCCCTTCTAGGATATGAGGTTTATTGCTTACATCCAAGTACTACCTCTAGTCCTTAATATATGATGCAATGGACTAATTTAAGGAGATTAAAAATAAATAAATAAATTACTTTAAAATATTATATTTATTGTTTTTTCTCCAAATAATTTTCTTAGCTTGTAAACTAATATATAATTTAATGATGCATATAAATATTTTAGAGAGATCATGTACTATATGCTATTACGTCAAATAAATAAATAATATAATATTTAAAGTAATTTATTTATTTATTTTAATCTCCTCAAATTAGTCAATCGGATCGTATATTAAGGACTGGAGGTAGTACTCGGGTGCAAAGAATGAATCTCATATCTTAGAAGGGAAATATGTGTTTTGCTTAAATACATATAAAAGGCTTGGAGGCTCAGAAAACAACATGACAGAGAGAGTGTGTGTGTTGACTATGATGAGAGAAAGATGGATCGGCTTGGAAGTGAAAATTTACAGAGAGAAAATATAGCATTTGGTGAGACCAAAAGGAATAAAATTAATGGATGTTTATGGAGGTTGAAGAATTTTGTTATTTTTTTCCTTTTACAAAGTTCATGTATATTTTTACACCCAAATAAATTTCATGGTGCCTAATGCCACTTGATACAAACTTTGTTGTTAAAAATGCACCTTAAAACTGACTTTGTGGGCCCCTCTAACGGCAAACTGATGGGCATTAACGGCATGGTGCCAGATGCTCCCTTTTGACAACTTCATGTATATTTTTACACCCAAATAAACTTTATGGTGCCCAGTGCTCTTTCGGGAAAACTTTGTTGTTAAAATTGCACCTTAACCCTATAAGAAATAATCTCTAACATAGTGCTATATTTAAATATATGAAATAAGTACTCTTTGTCTGAAATGTTAAACTGACCTCTCCACTTTTACCCCATTCTCTGTAGTAAATTTTCACTCCTTATTTCTCATGTGCTCTCTTTACAACCAAGGGCATAATTAAAAAAAATGTATATATCTTGTATATGTATTACTTTTAAGTAAATTTAACTAATAATTGGAATCACATAATTTTGGTAGTTGTTTCTTATAATAAAAGACCGGGAAAGTAAAAGCTTGCAACAACTAAGGAACTAACTCCACAAAAGTGTCTTGTTGAATGTCAATGACAACAATAATTTATTAAGCAACAACCTTAACTTATTAAATGATGACAGCAACAATGTGACAACTAATTTTAATGAGGGCAATTGGGTCATCTTAGAAAAAACTTAATGTTGGAATAATCACTTGGGATTCACAGGAATTAAGTCATTTCGAGGATCATTTTGGGATTTCCATATCTCAGTGATCCTTATATGTCTTTCTCCAATTTTCATTCTTAGTAATTGCTATAAGCTTTTGATGAATCCATAACAAGAAGATGAAAATTAGAAGGTTTACCTGTTGTTCCCAGTTTATACGACATGTTATGATGGCAAGTAGAACAGTTTGCACAAAAGAGCCAAATTGAATGCCAATCCAAAGGCCTTTTCCTCTCAACTTTGCCCAAAAACTCAATGTAGCAGCCAGTGGGATCCCACACAAGTAAAAGGCTCCTAAGTTAATGTAAGCCCCTATGTGCTGCCACCCACAACCTCTAGCAATCCCTGTTCCATTGTTTATTTTAATGTCAAGACTTTAATTCAAACAATGTGCGAGTGATCAATTGTCAGATGGAAATAGGAACAAGTTTCACATTTAATAGATACAGATTGAGGACCCATATATTTAATACTCCATTCAGTCCTTAATATATAAGCTAATTAAGGTCTTAGGGATTGAATTTGGTCTTAATAAAACTACAATTCACCTTATCTTTCATATTGATCGTTTTTACCAAACTAATTTACTTGGCTTATAAACTGATATATAATATAATATTGTACAGGGGTATTTTAGGAAGATCATGTTATATTTATTACAATTAACTAACTTATAGTTGATTTTCTTAATCTAACTAAATTAGTTAAGTGGCTCTTATATTAAAGATTGAAATGAGTATTACGGTTTTGGGTTAACGTGTAATACCAAACCTATACTTGCATACTTTTGTTGTCTCTAGGGCACAACACAATGTTACATAGATATATCTCTATGTTCAGATATACCTGAGAGAACACCTTGTATGCTGTCGAGAATAACGGAGAGACAAACTAGAGGAGCCATGAAAGTGACATAATCAATAACTTCCTTCTCATTACTGAAAGTGTAGCCATAAACATGGCGACAGGCAAAAAGTGTTGTGCTTACAATTGTTGTCTCCAACACTGCAATACACATTGTAACCACTACAGATACTCTTGCAACATCTGGATTCCCAGCTCCTAATTCATTTGAAATCCTTGTACTACACATATACACGGATATTTATGAACAAAGTAACCTAGGTCACATAGCAGTTCACAAGTAAAAAGATAAATAACTGTGTGTGTGTTTTAATACACAAACATATATATATGTATATATATAGGAGTTTTTATACGCTTTTGTTACCTTGCTGCTGCACCAATTCCATAGGGAATACAATATAGAGTGGAAATGGTGTTAAGGCTGTTTAAGGAGAAAAACAGTATTAGAAAATCACAGTAGTAATAATAAGTGAAGTCTGAGAAAATTGGAAGATCACAAACATGGATTTCAGTTCTTAATTAAGCAAGATCTCTGAAAAAGAGTTGTGTTTCTGAAGCGTACCAAATAGATAGAACTGAAGTTTCAAGCTGTGGATTTGGTAATAGCCCAGATAGCAAGATCAGAAGCTCAAATGACCACCATTCTAAGCTGAAATCATCATCAACGTCAACCCAATTCACTATATAGACCTTATTGTTATGAAAATGTGCTTCAAATTTTAAGTGAATCTCCATTTCATAAAAAACCAGACTTTACTAACTTTATAAACCCATATTCTTTCTCTAAATCGACTCACTTCTTCAATTAGTTCTGCATATATTACCCCATAGTCTAAAATCTCTGAATCGTTTCCTATTCATCAATGTTATGTTTGTTCAATCAATAGTTAGGTTGTGCTTGAAGAGGGAGAAATAGAAAGATGAAATTACCATATCATAACTGCAGAAGGGACAGCAAATCTAAAGAACTCTCCAATAGCTTTGAAAAGCTCCATAGAGATAGGAGCTCTAGTCTTAGCACAAGAAGAAGAGAATCTCATATATAACCAAAGAATAATCACATTTTCCCATATTGAAATACTAATGGCCAGTGCAGCACCAACATTGTGAAGCCCAGACTTGAACACCAGAGCCCAACAAAGAGGCACATGGAGAAGAAGAGAGACACAAGAACTGATCAGCATGGGAAGAACCAGGCTTTGCATTTGGTAATATCTAATCAGAGGCTGCAAAACTGCAAATCCAAAAAGTGCAGGAATAAGCCAGATTATGAACTTGGCTGCTTCATGTGATATAAGAGGATCTTGGCCTATGAAGACCAGGATTGCTTCCATGTTGATCCAAATGAGAGACAGTGGGACAGAAACTAGTATGAGAGAGGATATGGCAGTGTATGTTAGAGTTCCAAGCTTCTGATATTGCTGAGCTCCATAAGCTTGTCCACACAAGGTTTCTAGTCCACTTGCCAATCCCAACTGTAACACATGTACAATCAATAATGACTTGTCTTTGGGACAATATATACATATATGTGTGTATGTTCTGACGATGGGTGGGGGGAAGATATTGATCGAGCTTATGTGCTAAACAATGGTAATGAGAATCAACTAGCTGAATCACTTATCAGCATTGTTTTTATGGAATAAAATGTCCTTTCTTTTGTATATCATTGATATTACTTTAAAGATAATGCTAAGAGATTATCCTATTAATATCTATGGATTTTTGTTTTGCTATTATACATATCCTCTAAGGTTTAGGTTGCATGTAGATAATTTCGCTACACTTTAAACTTTTACAATAAACCATCATACATAAGTTTTAATATTTATGCAACTAAATCTTTGATTGCTTGGGCCGCACAAAGACTATGTTGAACTAGGTTAGGTATCAACCTGAAGCTTGATCTGAAAAAAGATTGGGCTGAAAATTTTGGTCCGAGAATCTGTCTAATTTGGTTAGGCCCAAGACCAAGATCGAGTTGGACATAGTCCACAAGGTTACTAGACCGGTCTAGGTTGCTTTTCCATTCAAGTATTTTTTTTTTTATTTAACAAAAAGGCAGCTATTTTTTTTATTTAGACCATACAATCATCTCATGTATACAAAATAAACCAATGTAAATTTGAAAATAAAATAGCAAGCATTAGAAATAATTATATGAGGAAGAAGGATTAGGTGAAAAAATAATATAAATTAAAGAAAATAAATATAGGCACCGGGTTCGAACAAATCATTTGGTCTGAAGAGTCAATTCGGAACATGGTTTGACTCCATGCCCAATGCTGGTCCGGTTCAACCTGATTTTTTGCTCGGGTTGCTTTTTTCTAGGTTGGATTGATTCAGGTTTTTTCTGACTGAGCTTTTTAGACCGGCAATTTTTTAATAGCCTTGCTAATTGGCATCAATATAATATAATACGACTAAGGTTTATTTGTACATAAGGGAGTAAGATTGAAGCTATGACCTCCTACAAGGAGAGAGAGCTTGGCAGTACTGTGCCAATTTGTTTTTAGAGGGCAAGGCAATAATAAATCATTTGATCAAAACTATAGCAGTGCACATCTAATTGTCTATGAAGGGGGCGTAGGGAAATACGTTAAACATTTTATAATAAAAGATGTGGTCCCAAGGCCCAACTCCTAACCTAAGGGGCCTGCATTAACAAGACCGAAACCAAAAAAAACCTGTAAAAATAATGACACGTGCTGGCAAATGTAATAATAATAATAACAGTACCAATAATAATGATAATGATAATGAGATGTCATTTTACTAATTCTGTCTTATTTACTTTTAAGGCTGTACTAATTGATTTTTAAGGGTATGTGTCAATTTATCATTGAATGAAACGAAACCGCCACTAATGAAATGGAACAGAAGGGAGAGGGATGAGATGAAACGGAGCCGATCCCTCCATTGTTTTGAAATTTTATTGGGACCACTATCTGATAATTATTGTCAAATTAGTAGAATGAAATTAATTATAATTATGTTTTTCCAATTTATGATGAGAAAAAAGAGAGGAAAGGACCGTTAAGAATGCAGGTAATTTTGCAAAAGGGAAAATTAATATGCAAATTCTTATAATTTCATCTAATTTTTAATTAAGTCACTGTTATGTTTTTTATCAGTCAGCTAAAATTACATGGACCTGTTAATCTAATTAATTATAAAGTGAAACTATAAAGATATGATAAAAAAATTATAAAACATAATTAAAAATCAAGTAAAATTATAAGGTGTAGCATATTATTATTATTTTGTAATAATATTATTTGTTTCAATCTCACCAAAAAAAAAAATTATTTGTTTCAATCCATTCTATCCTTGACCCCTTAACTTGGGATCTGAAAAAATGGGATTCAGATGGCTAGGACTGAATGGGGAGAGAACTTCTCTGCTTCCGTTATCATCCAATTCCCTCATTAATCAATTTTAAACGGTTATAAAAAGTAAAAGTATAAAAAATTGACCTATTTAGATCAAAGTTTAATGATTTAAATTTATTCATACATTTTTTGTTAATTAATATTAAACTAATATTTTTATAAACATATTAAATCTCAATCGTTTAAAGTCCAACGACAAAAATAAGAAAGTAAAAGAAAGCCAATGATAAGAAAAGTGGGGAGACTCCTTTCACGCTGAAGATGACATGAGGCCATATATATCAAGCCATTCGAGCCTATTTTATTTTTTTAAAAAAATCCCAAACAATGGCACAATCATTTTAGCCGTCCCACCCCATTCCATTCCATTTTGAAAAAACTCCCAAAAACAACCTAAAGAGTACGTGGTTGGGACGATTTTCAAATATGATAAAGGATACTACAAAATAAAAATTATCTACAAGAACAAGTTCATGTTTAAACTTTAAATCCTATCACCGATAGCAACAGATAGCGACCTTCAATAATTATGTTCATGGTTCTGGCAAGGAATAAAGATTTAAAAAAAAAAAAAAAGAAATAGCCAAGTCTTTGATTATTAATTACCAAGTCAACTACGTTTCTATTAAGATTTTCTAACCCAGAATTAAAATATAGAGGAAAGGAAAAATATTTATTTATTTAGAAACACATTAATATATATATGATAAGTTTTTTTCTTGATATTATTAAGTATCTATTATCAATATTCAACAATCAAACCAATATATATATAACTCAGACTCCCAAAAGAACCAAGATAGTTTAGTTTTCAGTCAAAATTCATCTAATTAGTCATTACTTGCTCAATTTTTTCGACTTTTAATTTAGTCAAATTCAATCAAATAAATCGACATTATTAGATGGATTTCATTTCAGACACCCCTAGTTTCCATCAAATAAATTGTATTGCTTTCATAGGATGGTGTGCGCACAATTATATTAAACAAACAATTATTAATGAATAATTATGACGCTGAAAAACCACTTTCGATTAAATTAGTTTGATCTATGGACGAATAATTTAAATAATACTAATAAATTAAAGCATCTAAAGTCAGGGGTGGTTATAGGTAAATTATTAGTATTCTATATTTAAATATATATTACTACATCCGGTCCTTAATATAAGACCCTGTTTGACTTTTATTTTAATTCTAAATATAAGATCTCAATCTACTTTGTCTCTCATATTTATGTATTTTTTCCTAAAGTAATCATTCTAGCAATGGTAGTTCTAGCCAATACACTTAATTAGTAAGGATATTTTAGAAAAGATAACACATATTTGTTACAAATAACTAACTTAACTTCTTTCTTTAATTTTCTCAAATTAGTCAACTAGCTCTTATAATTAGGACCGGAAGTAGTATTATATATACAAGATCAAACTTTATATATTGTGTTTACTTCTTCACTTCATATACTTTCATTTAAAAAGGTCATAAAAGTTGAATTTAAAACCAAACTTTGCCAAATCATAGTGACAACCTGTAATAATTAAAATGAGTGTTCTCCAAAAATATTATAACTTAATTTTCTAAGTGCATTGCTGTAAACAAATCATTCAATGTACATTTAGCAAGTTTTATAAGAGAGTGATAAAACAAAAAAAACAGAGATAAAATTTAATAATAATATATGTCACATCCGCTAACCACCCAATGAAGAAGACCAAAGCACTAAAAAACATCCAGTCATATGCATTTGGTAATAAAATAAATTAGTGTATTAAATCTTTGACTATAGTAGAGAACAATAAATAATTAAAACCTTTATCATAAAAAAAAATTAAGGTGTAATTTTAACCCCAATCTATTTTTCAGTGTAATTTTGCCTCTAGTCATTTTAGTGGTATAATTTTGACCTTCATCTTTTTTTTTTTATGATGTAATTTTACCTTGGGGCAAAATTACACACGAGAAAAAAATTTCAAAGGCAAAATTGTACCTGAAAAATAAATCAGGAGCAAAATTACACCACTAAAAGATTAGAGACAAAATTGCACATGAGTCAAAATTACACCTTAACCAAAAAATAATTAAAACCTAAATGTTTCTTATTCAAATATACTATATATATCAAGAGCCGTACCTAAACATACGGCTGTTTCTTTAATAAATAAGAACGCAAAACAAGCACACATCCACCTGCTTATTTTAGTTCAGGGATATTTGCATTAGTTTTTGAAAAATAATTTTACAGTATAAAAATAAGTATGTGAGAACAATTCTATATCAAATTATATTAAAAAAATGTTTTTTTTAAAGCGATTTTGATGCTTCTCAGACTCTCCCTTCGTTGGACTCCTATAATAGGGCAATTCTTCAAAGATAGGATAAGCACTTCTTAATTTTTTATTATAAGTTATTAAATGAAAAAATATTTTTAAGTAAATTTAATCACTTAACCGCCTCTCCTTAATTAAGTGGCTTGAAAGTTACAACCCTTCAAACAAAGTTACCAGAAAGGAATCAGTTTCTGTAATGAGTCCTATAATTTTAATGGTCTAAATTTAAAATTTGTAAGTAATAATTTTTAAATTAAAAATTATTTTAAAAATATTAATAGTTAAGATATTATTTTTTAAAAAAATTTATACCTATTAAAAAAACCTTTTAAAAAGCAAAAGTATAAACCTCTAGTGAAACTAATTCTTGAAAATCAAGTATTAGTCATGATATTGGTTAATGTAGAATCTACAAATGAGCAGTTCTCACTTATGGCTCGTCACAACACTAAGAAGTCTAGTGTACTCATCCTTCTAATGAAATCTAAACTATCTAAAGTGTTCACATTTAAAATTTCTAATCTGCAATTTTTTAAATGCTCCCGAATCAGTGGCGGTGCCTATCACTGACAATGTTGCCCTAAGAAGTAAGAAGTACGCTCACACCAACTTATACTAATTAGTGTCCAATTTAACTCAAATCCACATTGAATGGTTAGCGAAGAGGATAAATATCATAAGTTTAATGTTAAAAGCTAAGTACGAAGGGAGAAGATAGAAGAGAAGAGAGTTAGTGATGAGAAGAGAGGAGAAGCTTACAAGAAAGCTGAAGCCAGTGACGCCAGAGAGAGAGATAGCCAAGGATGTGCTAGAGAGAGAAAGCTCACCCAGGTGACCAACCATCATAATCGAGACAACCTGAATCAGAAATTGAGAAGAGAGAACAGGAATCATGGGTCCCGCGATGTAACCAATGATCTTCACTTCTTCCTTGAAGGTCCTCCATGTGAGCAGCCGGAAGCTTCTAGAATTATTGTCTCTTTCTGTTTTCTTCATCACCAGGCTCTCTTCCATCGTCCTATGTTGTCTCTCTGATCTTTCTTCAGAGTATTTTAATGGCGGAAAAATGAATACGCAGAGAGAAAGAGAGAAGGGAAGGGGGAAAGATACTGATTGAACTTCTGTTCTTTTATCTCTTTGATGACCCTGCGCTGGCTTTATTATTTATAGAATAATAACTCAAGTTGTAAAGTTTAATTTAGAATGACCTAAGCCACTTGGGCCGCACGCAAGACGATTTATAATTAAGATTTTTTATTGGAAAGAGGAAAAAGAATCATGTAAATAATTCACATAAATCTTTTTTTTTATACTAATAAAGTTTAGATAAGTTGAGTCTTAAAAATTTATTAAAGTCAAGGCATGTTTTCAGACTCATGGACACGTGTAGAGGTATCCACTAACAGAACTCTCATATCAATTGTAGGATTCAGATTTAGAACCTTATTGGATATGAATACAAGCTGTTTCATTACTAATTAAATCAATTCTTATTCACAATTAAAATAAATCTTGGTTCTTACGTAGTTTGTAAAATAAAATGTTAGTAAACATTTAATATAAAAATATCTGAAAAAGATATATTTTGATATGTATATATTTTAGAAGCAAATATTTGTATGTTTAAAAATATATTTTAAATATCAAAGAATAAATTGAAAAGAAAAAAAATCAAATGATATATGCATCAAATGCATTTTTCATATTTAAAAATATATTGAAAGAAATATATTTTTCATACTTATGAAAGTGACTCGAAATGATTGGCTGGAGTGAGAAAATGATGGTGAAAGTCACTTGATGGCATTATGAGGAGTAAGCAAATGGCATAGTGAAGTGAAAGAAAAATTTTCAATTTTCTTCTCGAGATCTCTCTGAAAAAGTTGGGGAAAACTTGATGGGTCCTATAATGTCCTTCTTTTTTCTTTTTCTCATTTTTCTTCTCTCATCTAAATAAAAAAGAGTGTTTGTAAATGATTTATAATAATATTTTAAGAAAAAAAATTCATGTAAATAATTCACATTGATTATGGTTCGTATATACGAACTTCAAACAGAAAATGGTTGTCAGTTTTTGAATTAAAAGAAACCATGTGCATTAATTGCACGGCACTGCTGAAAAAACTCAAATTAATTGTAACCAAGGAGTAGCTAAAGAATAATTGCTGGTACTTGGCCTTTAAAAAAAAAAAAGGGAAAATTGATGGTACAATTATATTTAGGGAAGTATTCGTAGTTTATAGTTCATGCGATTATGTTTCTAAGTTATCTGCACGAAAAAAAGTTTGTTCTTAAATATAAGTTATTTGTAGATAATAAATAACCATTTTTTGATTTTATCCCTATTAAATATAATAAAAAAATTTAACGTATTTTGTTTTCAACATCCTTCATTTAATAAGGGCAAGTATGAAAAATTTTACAAATTTAATGTATTTTTTGATATATAAAAATGGAACAGGTTTGGATGCTCATCTTTGAGATAAGGCTTTTTTACTAAAATGCTATAAACAGTAAAATATTAAAAAAATGCTGCACTTTTAAAAATATTTACTAATATACTGCACTTAAAATTATTCTTGACAAAAACGACTTTCAAATTACACACAAGTCGTTTTGGCGTGAATGACTTCAAAAATCGTTCTTGGCTTAACGATTTTACTTTTTTCCTATTCACTCCCCATGCGAGAATCTCTGCCAATTTTGCAACCGAAAAACAGGATTCACATATTATAAATGGTCTACGCCTACTTGTACACAAGTAGCAATGGCATACATATATAGAAACTTTTCTACTTGAAACTTTTCACAATCAACATTTTCTGTCAATCAAATTCACCTTGCAACATCGACAGAATTGACGACATCGAACATTATATGGCTCCATAACCTCAACTGATGTTGCTTTTCTATTAATCATTTTTCGTAAATTTTTTCTTTGTAAGTAAAATAAAAAATAAGTTTAAGAAATAGAGGTTTTTTCCTTTTGTTTATTTTGCTATTTTTATAATTTTATTTATATCAAGTATTAATTAATATATTATTGTAGTATATAAAATGCATTAAACGTATATCTTTTTAATATTAAAATTCTTTCTTGTAATATTATTTTAATAATTAACATATCATCAAGATTTTTTTAATTTTACGCATACATATTTTTTTTATACCTTATAATACCTATTTATTATTTCATTATTTTTGTAAAATTTAATTTAATAAATATCAATTTATTGCGTGAAACTAAAAATTTAATTGGACTAAAATCTTTTAGGTCAAAATCATTTGGTTGAAATGAAGAGTTCAAAACTAAAGATTTTTTTCTCTAGTTTATCACATTCATTAAAAATTATTTACTTTGATTTCTTTTAAATTGTAAAAACATATTTCAAACTCATAGTTTTTATTTATTGTACAATTTAAATGATATAAGTTTAAAAGATTTTATAATTATTTAAATTTATAATTCAAAACTTTTAAACACTTCTTATTATAAAGATTTATAAACATATTTAGTTAAATATATATTTATTAGTTAAAGTTTTAATCAAATGTTTTATGTTTGTCTTAACTGAATGAAATTAATTTAACTATAAAATATAATTTAGGAATTTATTAGAATCAGAAGTAAAATAGTAAATAAATTTTATTTTAATATAAATTTTAATTAAAATAATATTTTTAGAATCTTTTTAAAACACTCTTACTAACAGTGTTAACTAATTAGACTAAACTGTATGTTTTTAAAATAAAAAAAAAGATCTATGTAATTGATGCAATCTAAAAGGATAGTTAGAGTATTTTACTTTTGATTCAAAACACTCATATCATGACATGTCATTACCAATTAAAAAAATGCAACATAGCAAATAGAATGGAAAAGGCAAAATGAAAAAAAAAATTATGAGTGCCCTTCATTCATTTCAATTTTTCATTACTTACACCTTATTTTTACCTAAAAAAATATATGAAAGTAATAGTTCATTAGAAGTGGGTAGAACATTTTCTTTTTCTTTTTAATTTACCAACTTAATATATACCACATATTTTATATTTAGGGTGTATATATGATTATTTTTCAGTTTTATCTTACCAAATTTAAACTTCTGGAGAAGTATACTTTCATAAGAAAAAATAATAATCATCTACTAAACAAAATTGGAGCTTATATCAAAATCTTAACGTCTTAAAACAATATAATAGATGATAGTTTTACCGTTAAAAAAAGAGCATCTAGCTTAAAAAGAGTACAAATATTCTAGATTGTTGAACCTACCACTCACCTCCTGAAAATTAGAAATAATGAATATTAACTCATCAAGGGTAGTATGGATGAAAAATCAAATTCTATATCACAGCTGTGCAAATTTTTAAAAGAAAAATAGAAGAGAAACAACATATGCACAACAGCAGTAAAAGAGTTTGTCAAGTGTTTGGAAGCAAAAGTGAAAAATAACAAAACAAGAGAATAATAAAAATGGAGTAAGTGGAAGAAGAAGGAAGAAGAAGAGAGAGCCACATGTTTATATACAAAACCATATATGATGCTGTAGCCTCACAAGAAGGGAATAGGATTCTCACATGCATAGTGCTAGAGATTCTTGCATGCAAAATTGATAGAAATATTCTCACATGGGGAGTGAATAGGAAAAAAGTGAACGATTTTAGAGATCGTTCTTGGCGTGAACGATTTTAGAAATCATTCTTAACATGAACAATTTTATTTTTTGATTTAAAAAAAATTAAAAAGTGAAATCGTTCATGCTAAGAATGATTTCTGAAGTCATTCATGTTGTTAAGAACGATTTCTGAAGCTATTCATACCAAGAAAAACTACCAAAAATGATTTTAAGTGCAGTATATTGGTAAATACTTTTAACAGTGCATCATTTGGTATATAATTTTACTGTTTATAACATTTTGGTAAAAAAGCCTTGAGATAACACCTCAAACTCATTAAATGTGAACCGATTTGGACAATCCAGATTTGATGTTTTAAATTGTTTATTTTTAAATAATTTAAAAAAAAAAGATAGTAAGAGATTATTTTTAATTTTAATTTTTATACCTATTAAAATAATTATTTTAAAAAGGTTAAGGTACAATTTTGACTCTAATCTTATTTTTGAGGTGCAATTTTGCCTTAATCTTATTTTTCAGGTGCGATTTTGCCTCTCATTTTTTGGCGTATTTTGCCTCTAATCAGGTGCAATTTTGCAAAATTAAAATTACACCTAAAAAATAAGATCAAAATTAAAATTACACCTTAACCTAAAATAAAAATTAAAAATAATAAATTTGGACCATCCCGTGATCCTCTCAAAGATGAGACGAGCACCCAAACCGTTTGTTGTGAAAATAGGGTACAAGGGACCTATCCGATATGTAGAAACAAAGTGATATATAAACTTTGGTTTTTATTTATTCTTTTTCTCTGATCTTTGAAATAAGAACTTTTTCAAAGAATTAGTTCATATCATGAGAATCTTCCCAATTTTTCCCAGCCATTTATTATTTTTTCTTCTCTTAATATCTTTTGTTATTTTGAATATCTCCTCTATCAAATTAATGAAAAAGATTAAAATGGGAAAACAATAATTCAGTGAACTTCAGTATAACAGTATTGAAAACTCGTTAAAATTTTGGATATATTTAAGAATACAGGTAATTTTAATCGAATTTTTTAATATCGGCAAAGATTTTAAAATATTCTTACGTTGAATAGTGAATGTAGTATTGAAAATACTCCCCTGGGATTTTTATGCTAAGTCATCTTTATGATTCAAAATGTAAATCACTTTGCTAAATAGCTTATAAAAGTTTAATTATTACATTCCAAAATTGCGTTTTTTTATCAATCACCAATGAAAGGGTAATAAGGGTATAGATTTTCAAATCACGGCATTTGTTATGAAAAATAGTGGAACTAAAACAATTTTTAGATAATTTCAATTATTTGACTAATTTCTTTGTCCTGATAAAGTAACTAAAAGTAGCTTATAAGTTATATCAAAAGACCCGAAAGAGTAATGGAGTTGTGCATTTTTAATTAAAGAGGTGTGGATATAAACTTTGCTTGCAAGAAATAAATCTATTTCACTCAACATAATTACT